CCCCCGCCCCTGTAAAGGATGACCGTGCCTGAAGGTCCCGATTACCGGCGTCGTTTGGAGAAAGGGAACCACCACAGATGGAAGAGCCCCTGGCTTTCAGGGCACACGCTCGGGGAGTGTGGGGACGGATGAGGGGGCAGAGGCTTGGAGAGTGGACACTGGACTACGTCACTTGGGCAGCGAGAAACCCCCAGTGGCAGGGTGTCACAGGGAATGTTGTTTTTGCTGCTGCGGGGAGCATACACCAATGCAAGCCGGCTTATGTGTGCAATCCTGCAATGCTGGTCACGCTCTTCGGCTGGGCAGCCATTTCTGCCCTTTCCCTAAGTTGCTGCTCCCCTGTTAGCACCGACCCACTGCTTCTCCGTTCCCGTTGGGCTCTCCTGCGTCGCCGTTGCCATGGTCAATCCGATCCACAGGCCTTCGGAGAGCGCAACGTTCAAGTGGACGGTCCTGACTTGTGAGGCTGAACTGCTGTTTGGTGCTAAGAAGACTTGAGGGGTTATCCTTGGTTTCGGGGGCTCATCCAGCCTCCCTGGCTATGGAGTGCCTGGATTCCACAGGAATCCAAAATTGCATTCTGCAGTTCCTCTCTTTGGAGATTAGCGTTCTGTAGAATCTCAAGGACATTGAGAGAGAGAGAATTCTCAAACGCGATTTAAAATGGTGTAGGAATACAGCCCTTCCACAAGAGAAAGGACCGCTGCTCTGCTAGCCAGGATCATGTCGTTTGATAAGATACAGTTACGTGGAATGCTTAGAATATAGAACGACAGTGCATCAGCGTTCCGCTTGGACGGCTTTTGTCCCAGCTTTGGAACATAATCTGTTGCACACAAAAAAGAATTGTATCGCTGTATTAGAAAGTAGAGGTGATGTCTCAGATCCACTGACACTGCCGCTCCAAGCAAGCCTTCATCGCCACAGGGTTCAGAGTCAAGAACGGATTTCATTATCGTGTAGCAGGCTCGAAATAAGAACTCTGGAACTGTTTTATCGACACAACGGTCTTCCAGTAGTGGAGTCAACATGTATCTGCGCCTAAGAGATCCTTTAGGGGTTTCCCAATCACATCAAAGACCATCACAATCACGCTCACTCACTTTTTATCATTGGGAAAACTCACCTCCTTATTCATTTTGAACCACTGGTACTGGACAAAAGGATGGCCGGTTGCCCGGCAACAGAGTTTCACAAACTGTCCTGCCAAGACTGCCTTTGATTCTGGGTTTACAGTGATCTTGATTCCTTAAAAGCAAAAGAAGAAAGAAACAAGTTAGAGGAAGTCACAGGGAGGGACATCCCTTCCTTATGTTTCTGCGACCAAACAAAACATTAACAAAAACAACCCAAACCAAACATGTTGGACACCACCTGCGTGATTATCTGTGTGATAAAGCAAGCACATGCTCACATCTCCCTCCCATCAAATCCCGGGGAGAACTTGCCTGCAGGAGGAACTGGTCTACTGAACTCCCCCCACCCCCATCCCCCGCCTGGAAGGGATTCGGGGGTGTTTGTCTCATTTCTGCAATTCTTAGAAACTCCTTTTCCATTCTCTAAACCCCAAACTTGTGGCCGCCTTGTCTGTCTGGACTCACAGCTACCCGGAGGACAGAGTTCAGAGATCAACTGCCGCGCAGGGTTTCGCGGCTGTCCGCTTCCCAGAAGGACATGGCTGCAGCTTTCACCTGAAGAGCACATGATGGGACCACCAGCCGTCCCACCAGCAGCCGGGGGCTCTACCCAGCGTGCCCCCAGGACTCCTCTCACACACTGTAACCCCCGAGATGGGGATGCACTTCAGCATTGGTGGGGACCCTCGCGGCATCGTCGGTTAACTGCAAGGCCAGCAGTTTGAAACCACCATCCAAAGACGAAGCGCTCTAGACCCACAATGGTTTACAGCCTCGGAAACCCACAAGGGGCTGTTCTCCTCTGTCCTATAGAGGCTCTAGGAGTCGGCCTCAGTTTGATGGCAGGAGGGAGGACGGGTGGCAGCCAGTTCTCACACTATCGCTGGGTGAGCACTGGTCCTCAGTGCACCAGTGGGTGGCACTCTGGCCGAGTTAACTGCACTACCACTGGTGTAGCGTTTCAGCACCATATAGATTGCCTTCCAGACATTGCGTTAGGGTTTAGCATCAGGAGGAACGTGACTTGGTGAGCACAGAGGAACGCGAAGAGAACAGCAGGCTTCCACTGGACACCTGTGATGTGGACACTTCGCACAGGACACCTGACAAAACTTGGAGGCTGCCAGGAAATCTGCTCCCCCATCCCCACCCCCACCCCGCCTGCCACCCTCCTCTCAGCTCATCCTTGGAGAGTCCTCTCCTGGCCGGGAGGGTGCTCAGGTAGCCCTCTGGTGAGGCTTGGCTGGTCAGGAAAGGACCTGAGGCCTCCCGCCCACAGTCCAGGGGGAACCGTGGTCTCTTCCAGCCCCAGTCAAGCCTTCAGATGACTCCAGCCACCCCCACCCGCTGACAGCTTGACAGGCGAGTCAGGAGGCCCTGAGCCCAAACCGCCAGCCCAGCCTCCCTGATTCCTGTCCTAGAAGGCCTCTGAGATAATACCTGTTTAAGCTGTTGGTTTGGGGTCATCTGGTATGTAGCAAGAGATAACAACAAAGAGAGTCTGCATTTGTTGAGGTTCTAGCACACACACCAGGTTTGTTCCCGAACCTTTCGGGACACTAGCGGAGGAAAGATGGTTAAAAGCTAACTTCCTGCCCTTACTTTTGTTTTCTCTATTTATCCTGGATGGGATCTTTGTGCAGCCTCCTTTACCCTCTATATCCACCAGTCCAAAGATCCAAACCAGATAATTTAGGCTAAACAACAAAAATCTTAATATAACAGGGGCTTTAAGCTTTCTAGAATAAAAAATAATAGTGTATTAGTTACTTGTGGGACTGGAACCACGAGGTCAGCAGTTCAAACCCACCCGACACTCCACGGGAGGAAGAGGAGGCTCGCTGCTTACAGCCTTAGAAACCCCCAGGGGCAGTTCTCTGCCCACTGAATTGTTACGAGTGGGGACTGACTAGAGAGCAGCGAACTGGTGGTTTTGTTTGTTTGTTTTCAGGTGAGGGGTGTACGTGAAATCCTTAAGAAAAAGATGCTGAACAAAGCCCAAATTAAATGTGAGTACATAGTAACCACAGATCTTTCACACATAGGAGTCTGGGAAATCCTGGGAGATATTTAGAAATGGAACAGGGGCCTTCAGAAAATCACATAGCACTCATCAAGGGAGAGCTTTCCTACTCGTGAACCCTTTATCTTGATGCTGCGCTGCCCCCAGAGAGATGAGGCCCAGGACTGGCCTGCATACTGCTAGAATGCTGGTCAGAAAGATCGGCTGATGTTTCCCATGAGCTGGGCACACTTGCTTCTGCCAGTAAACGCCCGATACTCTAGTTCCGTACCCTACAACTCAGCATTCACTGCCAGGGCAGTGCGACCCTACAGTTTTGTGGTAGTTACACAATCTGGGGTCAACTTTTGAAGGGATGGAGTTTAGCCTGTCAATCAGGTTGCCGCTTGATGACCTCATTTGGAGGCTCTAAGGAGATCAATCGTTCGCTGGAGGTGGGGCACACACTCACTCCCTGTGAGACATTCCTGTTGAGAAGACACATGGAGCTATGCTAGAGCCCTGGAGCTGAAGGAGCCATGTGGAGGCCTACACACCAGCGCTGAGATCCTTCCACTGCCGCTGGATCCACAAGACTTTCCACCCACTGGCCTGTGATCTTCCTGCATTCGGCGTCATTGCATGTGTTGCATGAGTCTGAAGAGGACTCTATAGATTGGTATTGGACATATGGGCTAATATCAGACTTATGGGCTTGATCTGGACTGGGCTGGGATGTTTTCTTAATGGACAATTTCTCTTTGATATAAAGTTCTCTCTTACACATGAGTGTCTGTGAATTTGTTTCTCTAGTCAACCTAGACTAACCCAAGCTTCGATACACAAAGGTTGTGTGTACGTGTGGTAACGGGGGAGAAAAACAAACAAGCTGTAGCAACCACCAGACCAGACCAGACCAGACCAGACCAGACCAGACCACACTGCACTTGCAGCAATCAAGTCAGTTCTGACTCATAGTGACCCTACAGGACAGGGCAGAAGTACCCTGTGTGTTTGGGACACTGTGACTCTTTACAGGAACATAACACCTCATCCTTCTCTAGGGCAGTAGCTGGTGGTTCTGAACTGTTGACCTTGGAGTTAGCAACGAGTAACCCCTAAGACACCATAACCCCTTCATGGCAACAAGACAGAAACAAACATAACCTGAAAAACATAGGCATTCTGGCTAAACTGGCTTTAAAATGCAGACGTCTAATGGGAGCTCTGGTGGTATAGAGGGTCAAGCGCTGGGCTGCCAACCCCAAGGTAAGCAGTTCAAACCCATCAGGGAGAGGCAGCTATCTGCTCCCCTAAAGAATTCGTTTTAAAAACCTCCGGAGTAGTTCTACCCTGTCCAATAGGGTCACAGTGACTCAGAGGCAGTGGGCTTGACAGGTATCTCCAAGTTAACATGCCCCAGCCCTCCTGACAGTCTCCTCCCTGGCCAGTTCCCCGGTCCTCAGCTCAGAGGAGATACGCTGGTCTCCTAGCTGCCCCTCTTCCATCCAGTTACTCGGGGCAGAAACCCAGCAGTCACCCTGGAATCCTTCCTTCCAGCTTTCTCTCCCCACATATAAATGACCCACGAGTTCATGCAAATAAGCATCTCTATTTCTCACCAACTCGAAGGCCATGATCTTAATCCAAGCCCACATTAGCTCCGCCCCCTTCTAGTTCTAAACAACTTTTCACTGTGAATTAGGTGGAGGTTTACAGAGCAGAGCATAGTTTCACACTCAGTGATCCATACCCATTCTAGCTCAGCTCTTCCCACTTCCTCCCTGGGTCTGCTGGTTCCACTCCTCCTCCTGTCCTTCCCCTCTGAACTCAGTCCCTGGGTCAATGCTGCCCTTTCGATCTTAGTGGCTGATCATTCTAATGGAGAGGTGCCTTCAGTTCCAAACTGAAGGGTAAAGGCCAGCGTCGTAGGAGACCACCACCAGCTCTTTACCAAATTGCGGCCACAGCCTGCCAAATGGTCTCCCAGCTCCCAACCAGCAGTCTAAATGTAAATGAATTCCTATCATGCCCTAGCGGGAACCACCTAGTTGTCTGCCACTGTATTTCCCATGGTCTACAAGGCTCTACGGGGACCCGGCGGCACTAGCTCATCCCCACCATTCTCCGCCTGTTGGCCAGGCTGCAAGCAGATGCCTTTCAAAGCCACGCTTCTCATCCTCATCTCCCACTCACTCGCGGGAGTTCTCCCCCAGACTACGAAGTGTGCGGCTCCATCTCATCATCTGTCTCTACTAGCATGCCGCCGCCTCCTTCGGCTCCAAGCCACACTCACCGCCACCGGGACAATGCTGACTGGTGGCGACCCACGGTGGGTTTCTGAGACTGTCACTGTTTACGGGAGTAGAAAGACGGGTCTTTCTCCTGAAGAGCTGCTGGTGGTTTTGAACTGCCGACCGTGCAGATCGACACCCAACTCGGCACCACGCCACTAGGGCTCCCCAGGCCTCATGCTCAGTGACATGCACCGCGCTTTGTGTTTTTCCTGGCATTCGCCATCCTTTGACATCCTTCTTTTTCCTCCCCGACTCGTCTCACCGACTAACATCGGAGCTCTAGAAGAGCAGGAGCCTTGCTGGTCTTACTGACCCTTGGGTCCACTGCCAACCACAGAGCCTGGTGACAGACAGGACTGGGTGTTCAACGTGAAGGGAGGAATGTGTGCAGTCATCAATACGCCTCGGCCTGTCATTGACAGGCGGCTCCACCCACCATGAAGCTCTGGGGATGTGGTGGCTAAATGGTCAGCTGCTAAGGGAAGGGTTGGGTGGTCTGACCCGCCAGCCACTGCGGGGAGACAGACTGGCAGTCTACGTCCACCAGGATCACAACCTTGGAAACCTCATGGGGCAGCGGGTTCTACTGTGTCCTATAGCGAGGGCTGCTGGGAGCTGGAACGGACGGAGTCCAAGGCCACGGGTTAAGTTTGTCAGTGCCGGGCATTCCGCATCTGCAGTCTTCGAAACAGTCCTATGAGGTTGGGGATTGACTGGGCCATTCTGCAATGGAGAAGAGGGGACGAGCCATTTGCAGAGGGCCATTCTAAGTACCTTCGACACGTCGCGTAGCCTCTGAAATTTTCTCTCTCT